TTTGAAATTTCGCCGAATAACGGGCACTCCGCGGTCGCGACCTCGGCGGGAATTCTTAATCCACAATCAACGAAATATTTGGCGGCCCCCCTGTCATCCATCATCGGCGTGACAAGCGGCCCGGCGAGATACTCCGCACATAAACCGCTCAACTACCCGCGGTTTCAGTCGGGAGGTTACGCGGTTTTCGCCTATCGGGGCTGCGACGGCCTCATCACCCGGAGAGGAAGCCGCCCGGGCGAGGAACCCGTCAGCCTCGTTTAGAGCGATGGCGACGGGTTTCAGCGGGAGGCCGTGACGTCATCCCGGGCCTAATTTCAGCCAAGTGAAACGAATTTTCTTCGGACGGGAGAGGTTACGAAGCGACGAGAAAAATTGAGTTTATTTGACGCAGAGAAAAAATAAAAATAGATAAATAAATAAATAAAAAAAAAAAAAAAAAAAAAAAAAAAAAAAAAAAAAAAAAAAAAAAAAAAAAAAAAAAAAAAACATCCGTTTGTACAGTACCGAAATATTTCTGGTTCAGATTAGATAAAAAGGAAGGGTATTGCCCCGACCATCCTTTTACACTGGAAAAAAAAAAAAAAATAGATTGGATCTAGAGTCCAGACTCTTCAAAACATCGACAAGAAAAAATACTCTTGATTCGAGCGGATTTTTGCTTGAATCAAGAACCAAGCCTCTTAATTTGAGCGGATTTCCTTTTGATTTAAGCTTAAATCTGATTGAATCAAGAGTCCTTTTTCTTGTCAATGTTTTCAAGAGTCTGGACTCTAGATCCAATGTGTTCTTTTTCCAGTGTAGTATGGAAAAAGTGTAGCGCTTTCTAATTGGATTGCATTTAGCAAAAAGGAACCGAGAACATTGCACTGTTGCTAAGAGTTTGCAACTTCGTAATTTGCAATAAAAGTACTGAAATCATGCAAAAATATGAAATATACATGAAAATTATTGTCTAAAATTCTCAGTTTTTAGAATGTAAAACAGAAACTGTTAATAGATGATCAGGTTTTTCTTTCAAGACAAAAGAAGTTCCACAATCTTAGCAACAATGCAATGCTCTTGGTGCCCTTTTTCAAAATGCAATCCAATTGGTCTGCGAGTTACAGGCACGAGTTACCAAAGTTCATGAGTTTTCCCACAAAATGGTTGGTTCAGACTAGGGTACATAAATAGGAAGAGTAATGCCCCGACAACCCTTTTAGTATAGAAAAAGTATGGAAGTTTAGTATGAAATAAACGGGATGAAGACCGAGCTCTAAACGTGATGTGGATTTTATACTTTCCATCTTCTGAGATGAGTTCTGGAAAAACTTTGATACCTAGATATTATTTTAGCGAAGGATTACACTCTTTCTGCGGGTGTCTTTCATTTCTCCTCAATAATACAAGTTTTTCTCGATCGAGTTTGTTTAATTGGTCCTTAGAAACCCCTAAAAAAGGGTAAAACTGATGAGCCAACGAGAAGGGCACAGACATGGCCACTACATGTACTCTGAAGGTATACATGTAAACTATGTCTGTGTACATGTCTCGACTAAACTAGTCCAGATTACCAAAGTTTTCGGTCTTAGAAACCAAGCTGCAGACCAAATAATCAAACTTTTCACTCGCATTTTTGAAGTTATTTCGACTTGAGTTCGGGTTCTACAGCCTGAAACTTCAGTTATCTTGACAAAAAACGTTGTTAGTTGGTGTGCGATTTAAACTGAAGTGCAACCTAGGGTTTTCTCTCTATGAATAACAAGGAGACGATCTTGTAGCGTTTAATACTAAATTAATACCTACTAAAATTAATAAAATAAATGTATTAACTTTCAGAGGTACTTAGGTATGAAACGGAAGGGAAATGAAACTGCATCTCAAAAAATCTATCAACCCTGCCATCGGCACAAATTTATTCTAACTTATATAAGGGCGCAAATTGCAATTCCTTTCATTATTCTCTTCATAAATTCTTTAGGCACAGAACAAGAAACGTCGCTCTCTGTTAATCTTAACTGATAAATTTGGACTTCAAAAAACGTAAAATTCGTATTGAATAATACGAGTAAGGAAACTCTTATTAATTTTTTGAAAATCAATTTTATAACAAATTTAAGTACATTACTTACTTAAAAAAATGTATGAAAAAAATTGACATCAAAATCTTGTTGGATTCTAAAAATCACTCGTATTAATGCAAAAAGAGTATAAGGATAAAATATCCACTAAGTAGCGTGATCACATCAGAACTAATCTCAAAATTAAACGAACCTATCTGAGGTCAAAATATTTTGAAGTTACATGTAAATAAAAAACGATGTAAAGATTCGAAAAGTTTTCTAAAAAAATTCATTTGTTTATCTTTCTGTTCTTTTTCAGATCGTTATTTTACCGCACCTCACCATGGATTGATAGTATGTATTTACAATGTTTACCTAACCAATGAACAGATCCAAAACGCATCTCAATAAAATTCTTGTCATTGGGTGTCATTCTTGTCATTTGGGTCTTTTACCTACTTCATCGCTGCGTGTGTGAATGAGAAAAGAATCATTTAGAGGAACAAATTATGAATGATGAATTAGTAAGCTGGAGGTACCTAGATATAAATTTACACGTAAGTATTCACAAGATAACACTTAAAAACTTAAACAAGGATTTAAAGAGCTATACCAAAGTGCCATTAACAATGGTACTTGGTACAGGTGCAGGGTGCACTGTCCCTACTTAAAAACTCATGTCATCTTCACTGGTCGGTTAAGTACCTACCTAGGTACCTCCAAAATCCAGTCAGCTAAGTAGCAGAAAAAGTACAAATAGGTACCTACATTACCTACTTGCTTTTTTTTTCTTTAATTTATTTAGCATGTTTTCGATACTTCATCATAATTCATGTCTGCTTCGATGACTAATTGTACGTGATTAGTATAGATCAATGTGCAGACCTTTGATATAGGAGACTGGAATCAGGAGGGATCTAAATCTCACAACATCAGGATTAATGAAAAATCTGTTGGACTGATTTTTCTGATTCAGGACTGTTGATTCTAGTTGAGGAATCAGCAATGACTCCAAGTTTTTAATGGAATGAACAGCGAGACTGAGTGAAGAGAAATGAAAGCAATCTGAGAGATTTTAAACTTCACCACGAAATGTTTCTGCAGCTACATTTCTTCCTACCTCTTTATAGGGTGCCTCCAAAAAATTGTTTTAAGATACGTTCAGTGCCTACATTTTTCACAAGGAAGAAAGGCAGCCAAACCATTTCAGGCATTGATTCCACGACCAACAAAATATTTTAGAAGAATTGAAAATAGAACCTATGACCTTCAAAAAAATATGTGGTGACTTTTATTTTTTGAAAACTTGCAAGAAGTGGGTCTTGGCAGGGTTTAGTTTCCAATCTTTTTCAAGCAAAAATACTTCAACAATTTTTCTCATAAAACCAGAGCCCTTTGTGAATACCTAGGTATGAGTCATTTTGAAATTACTTATGTCAACACTGGTTTACAGCAGCATTTGGAATCTATCACATTCCTTCGTGTGACCTGAGAAAATTTCAAGATACCTAAATACTTAGGTGTAGAGTTTACATATGGCAGAGGAATTTAAGTTCTCAAATGCCAACCTGATCGGTGTTGCAATAAATTCAAAGGCAGGTTTCTCAATTTCATTCAACAAATTTAGGGTTCTGTAATACTGTTTTACCACTTAAAAATGACAGTACAGAATTGCACCTTCGATTAGGTAAATTCTGTTTGTCATTTCATTGGACTGGCTCTGTCAAATTGACTTTTTTCATTTCCCTTCCCCATTACATACCTGAGTACCTCTGAAAGTTCAAAAATTTAAGCGATTGGGGGAAGTTAGTTATGGACTTAGGATTAAAATAGGTATCATTGTATACTTGATATTGCCAATCCGTATTGCTTTTGTGTGATAACAGGCATTTGTACCTGACAGAATGAGGACGAAGAACAATCAAATTGGTTGGTATTCCTACCTCGGTGGTCCTGATCTTGATGTCAAGAGCCCCAAAAAAGTAGGAAGCAAAATAAGTGTCTCTATCTCCAAAGACAGAGTTGTAATAAAGTGTATAATAATTTCAGAAAAGAAATGAGTGATAAACTTATCGCAAATAGAGCGCACCCATTGCTCGTATCAATTATTGCTCAGCTAGGTGGATCTTCCATTATTTGAAGAGATTAAAGGCTATATACTATACTAGTACGTACTTCAAAAGCATGAAAAGATGCACACATAAAGCAGAGAGTGCATTTAAAGCACAGCATCCTATTTGCCAGTAGAAGGGTCATCTGTACCTCCAATTACAACTTCCTCTTGAAAAGCGCACTGTTCCATGTACACTTCTCGTGTAGGGCTCTTCATTGGCTCTATCTACTTGCAAAAGCACTAGATACATATATCTTTGTCATTTGTGAGAGTGTTTTAGTGGGTGATTTGGTATTCGATTTATGATTCATGAGTGGAGATCAGAACCTCTTTAAGAGAGAGCCACGATGGAAAAGCCGAGGCATTAATCTGACCTGGTGCGACCAAGCGCAGTGAGTCAATTTCAGGCTGAGACTTTATTTTGATTTGTAAGATTATCTGGAGAGATCAAAGAGTAGGTACTTCATAAATTGACTGATACTTTACAAGAGGGAACATGGAGGTACAAAGAAAATAAGGGGTTGAGAAATGCTATCCAGCAGTATCGGCAGCTGATAAGGCCAATGAAAAGACCCACATAGCAGATTTTACTGCACTTCAGTGAACAGGAAGGCCATTATTGGTTTCGCAAACTCTTAGATGAGTGTAAATTAACCTGTTGATCCAGCTCCTTCAGCTTCCTACCTACAGAGATCCAGAATCTAAGTTCTGAAGAACCATTAGAAGGAACCTGTTGAGGTTAACCTATAACTAGGTGCTCCTCAAGAGGAATTTCTGTATTATTTGAGTAGTCCCGAAATCTTAAACGATATAAATAGGAAGTAATGAGTTACCAAAATTACCTTTTAACTGCAGGGTAAAAGATGAGGTAATTAATCCATTTTAAAGCGATGGTTATCCAAGTAATGTGAACACTAATGGCACTGAATCAACAGGTGGCTTTAATAATTCACTAGATTCGATATTTCATTCACACAACCACAAAGACACGGGAAAATAGAGTTGAATTTAGCGGAAAAATGGTAATCTTAGAGGCGATAACACTGGTAGAGGAGGTAGTTTAGGAATTTATACGGCGTGAAACAACTACCATGTTTGAAAACATAGGCACGTCATGATGGGTTGCAGGAGGAACATAATCCGAAATTCGAGCGAAGATAGGAGAAGACGGCACACTGAAGGGTCGGGTGATCGATGAGAAAACGCACGCACTGATCGATGTCTCGGTAGGGACCGGAAACGCGGAAAATGTGTGGAAAACGGCGGAAAAACAACTGGGGAGAAAGGAATTTTGAGGGCCCGCGGGCGGAAGGAGCGTGCTGCTCTCAGTGGAAGCGCCTAACACCAACTAAAGTCAGAAATGGTCGCTGGCCGCCTCGGCTAGCTCCTTGCTCCTTCCACGGCTCCTCCGGTGAGCGTGCGCTGGTGTGAGTGAGATGGCGGAAACTGGTTTTCGAACAGGGACACAATCGCCATTATAACTTCTAGACACGTGGAAATTTAAAAGTTCTTTTTCCGCAGTTCGCTTCATGGCATACTCGCATGCTTGGCCCTCGTCGCCCCGTCGTCGTCCGCCGAGTCGTGGTCGGATCGCGGATTTCAAGCTTCGCCCAGTCCCCGCTTCCCGGCTTCCGCTCTGCCCCATCCCGCGGGGGTGAGAACTTTTTCGACCCGCATTCTTCGGCCTCTTCGACCGTCCCAAAGGAAAAACGCCGTATGAGCCTTCGCACGTTGCCAAATTTCCTTTGACAGAAAACGAATTTTCCGGAAATTATATAAATAATTTTCTTCCGGTTTCAGAGAGAATTTTCCTCTTATCCTCTTCATCCCCCGGCTTCTGCTCTTACCATCCCGCGGGGGTGAGAACTTTTTCAACCCGCATTCTTCGCCCTCTTCGGCCGTTCCCAGGAAAAACGCCGTATGAGCCTCCCGGCGTTGCCAATTTTCCCTTGACAGATCACGAATTTTCGGGAAATTATGTTTTTTTTTTTTACCTCCCGGTTTTAGAGAGAATTTTCTCCCCAAGGAAAATATGCAATACTTTCCTCAAAAATTCATTTTTTCCGAGAGGAAATAATTTGGCAACTCCCAGATGATCGCAGGGGTGAGGACTTTTTCAACCCGCATTCTTCGTCCTCTTCGGCCGTCCCAAGGAAAAACACCGTGTGAGCCTTCAGACGTTGCCAAATTTCTTTTGACGGATCACGAATTTTCGGGAAATTATGTAAATAATTGTCTTCCAATTTTAGAGAGAATTTTCTTCTTCTAGGAAAATCCTCCTCCTAGGAATCTAGGGAAATCCTCAAAAATTTATTCCGCAGGGGTGAGAAGTTTTACAACTCGCATTCTTCTACCTATTCCACCGTCCCAAGGAAAAACGCCGTATGGGCCCTCAGTCGTTGGGGGGAGAAGGGGGGGGGGGGGGGGGTATAACTTCTCAATGGGCTCTTTGCATCGGAAATTTCTTGCACTTAGAAAAATGGTTGGCGGAAAAACATTTGCTTTAAATGCTGAACACTCCATAATTCTTACTTTGTTTACTTTTCTATCCTTGCGTTTAAGTCTCCAAACCATGAATCGAACTTTGCATTACTCATGATCGTAGTAGCCTAGGCACCTAACTTAACTGGATCTTAGCCCCCATTGAACTTACCAGGGTTGTACTTAAGAGATGCTAAAAATCCCTCGGAAAAGAGTATTTCAGGGGGGGGGAGGGGGGCTGAGGAGAGACTTCTGAAAAATTGACTCCTCTTGGATGCGCATTTTAAGGTATCTAACTCTCACCCGAATTTTCAACAAAAGTTATGGGTGGTTTTTTAAACCTTAGTAACTCAAAATTTAATTTTTCAAGTAGTTGCCGAGTACTAAAGTTAAAAGCAAAATATTAATGAAAGTTCAGGTAGCATTCAAGTAAAACATCAACGAAAACGCAATGAAGTCGATTGTTTATACGCCACACGCTAAAGTGGAAATGGTCTACAGTAAGTAGTAAAAAAAATTTCCTGCTTCCTTGCGTGTCAGCTTGGAGGGGCAGTTGTACTACATTTAAAGGAACTACTATTTCTGGCTCATTTTAAAAACAACGTATGTGCTATTTATTTCCCAAACCCAGATAAATTATTTATGGTTTACCTTGGCATAATCTTTCCTTGCTGCAAAATGTAATCCAACATACCCTTCTATTTCTACTTCTGCCCCTACTCCAGGTATTAAGCAACCACATGCAATAACAGCTTTAAAAAAGGGACGGATCGGCATGAAACCTTAAATAGGAAAACTTTTCCAGTATTTTCCAGTGGTTGATTAAGATCATGAAAGATCACTCTATTTTCACCCCAATATCGCGAAAAAGACTCGGTTGTTATACCGCCGCGAGCATTACATTTGCAAACATCGGTAACTTAGGGTAGGCGAAAACCCATGATTTCCCTTCAATTTAGCGTGATACCACATGCCTACTCCGGAGTTCGAATAGTTGCTTGCTTCATTTCATGCTTGATGCAAGATGCAAACTGAGAAATTGAGCGACTTTCATCGCAATATCGCAAGAAGTGAGCTAT